ACTACTACTACTACTACTACGATGACCATTTTCCTGCAGCGATTATATCAAAACTACCTTTCCGTGTTTGGTTTCTGAATTTGTAAGTTCGGCATCAGACGACCATGTCACATGACACGTCAAAAAAAGCAAACAGCAAAAGCTGAGGGGGGAGATGAGGGACCTTGCTTTGCCCAGCCCAGTCCCGTCAGCAACCCCAGCAAGACACACCTGCACCGTAATCAGCGAACAATATGGGGAAAACAGGGATGGCAATGCTCAAAAGTCGGGTTTTCTGGAAAACAGGCTTTAGTGGCTGTGGAGCACAATTTTCTGAGAAAGTAGTGCATAGCAGTCTCAACCCGAAGCCCAAACACTTCATTCAAAAGGTTTGGACACTCCATCACCAGCCTGCAGATAGCGGGGCTGCTGCTGGTCTTCGTTGCACGGGTTCCCAGCGAGCCGCGGGTGAGGGTGGGGTTCAAGGGTCGAGGCGTATGTGCTGGAATTTTGGTCAATAGCATCAGGCTTGTTCGTGTGGAGTCCTAGACCGAGACGTGCTTTTGTGTCTGCACCACGCAGGTGCACCCTGCGTCTTATCGCCAAACATACGCCATATTGTCCCACACACGAAGGTGCCCAGGAGAAGCACAATGGATGCAGGTCCAACTGACAGACCAGACCGCGAGTCCAAGCGTGCAGCCTGAACTCCCCAAAGGACTGACACTTAGAGCCTGGAGTAGTGCCCTTCGATGTACTCTTTTAACAACCGTCAGAGTAGCCCTTAGAGGAAGCCTTATAGAGCCAGGCTCTGGGCTACAACTCCATCAAGATCGCGATGGAGTCCTCGATGCCGGAGAAGCAGCGGATTCTACAGGCACGGGTGGATTCGCGTATGGCGTATGGGGCCCTCTGCAACAAAACCACTCCAACCTGCTCTCGAAGCTCTAAACTTTAACCCGAAACCACAGTATATTACCTTATAGTAACCCGTATAGCAGCCAGTCATCCTTACAGTAGCCTATACGATTGCCGAGGCCCCTGACAGAACTTGGCAACTACTATGTGCAGCACAAATCCCTCACCTTGAGTGCGAAATCCTTCAGAGTCGATAAGGCATCTGTGGTCCAATTAGAAGCCAATAAACCAGTCGTGTTATCCCCTTTTTGGTCCCTCTGTTGATATAGTGCAAGATACCCCCCCCCCCCAAAAAAAAAAAAAAAAAAAAA